TTTGGATGCAAGCAAACATCTTTTTCTAAGCTTGGTATGTAATCTGATGTGCTCATCATGCCACACTATGCCAGTATATCTCTAACGTCTGCTGACTTCTATCCTATAGTGATTTTTCTTTGCTTACCAGTATGTTCATGGTAGAATGTTGAGAAAGCAGAATTCAGTATCAGCTTTAGCTAGCTAGTGTTTATCTCTGAGTACATATGTAGGACACTTGCTTATTGCTAATACATGTCTTCCTTGCGTTTCCTGTCAGATGCAAGATTTGTGCTGTCTCAGCCAACTGCTGTCTCTTGTCTGTTTGCATGTAGACATGTAAAGCACAAACACCAGCATTCATAATGGCTTTTGAATGCCTTTCTCCAGCTATTGAGATATTGTTTGCAATTTGTTGAGCTAGAGAATATGAACTTGATGAGTCATTATATCCTTGAACTTTATTAAAATGGATTGAATGAAACAGTTTTTAGCTTGATCCACATCCCCAACTAGGAAATCTGTCCTTTTTTCCACTAGAGATGGAGATAGGGTAGCACCTTATCAGCTCTTATCAACCTTAAGGCATTGCCTTTTGTGGGCATCCAGACCTACTGAATTACTGCTGGTAAATGAATGAGAACCTAACCAAAAATAGTTTAGTCCTAGGTTACCTTAGGAGGAGGGGCTGAGTCAGAGCAGAGAAGCACAGGCTCCATCCAACTTCTTCATGGTTCTTTCATGTCTGCTGCCTGTCCCACTGCACCAACAGCTTGTCACCTTTAAAGTCAGAAGCAGTAAATGTGCTGGCAGATGAAATCCAACATAGATCACTCAGTACTTTGGTGGGAATATCTAACAAGTACTAGCTTATGGTAAAAAGCCCTACCAGTTTCTTTAGAAAGAAAGAAAAAAAGGAAGAAAAAAAAGCCCTACCAGTATTTGTAGGGAGAAGAAAGGTTGAACTCAAGTCCCAATTCAACCTGACTTCTTCAAGTTGTTTCCTCCCCAACTTCAATTATTTCCTCTCTGAGAGAATAGGTCTGTTTCTAGAAAGAGAGACCTTAATGAAGTTTTCTTTCTTTTGATGCTGCTTTTTCTTTTCCCCAGTTCTCTCTCTTCACTGCTGTCCATAAGCACTACAGCCTCGATCAGTGGCAAGAGTTTGCTAGCCAGAATCCTGACTGTCTTGAGGTAACACTGGGCCTACCCTGCTCCCTTCCTTATCCTAGTTTTACAGCAATTATATTTTGGCTTTCTGGGGACCAACCCTCATTACTGACCCATTGGCTGCTCACCAGATCATCTCTGATAGGCCAATGGTCCTGTTTATCCCACAGCATCTGGCTGCCAGCTCAGGCACAGGCTCTTCTGACTTTGAGCAGCTGGAACAGATCCTGGAAGCTATTCCCCAAGTGAACTATATATGCCTGGATGTGGCAAATGGCTACTCTGAACACTTCGTTGAATTTGTAAAAGAAGTACGGAAGCGCTTCCCCCAGCACACCATCATGGTATGTTTCTATTATAGTCGGTGCTTTTTATCTTTCTACTTTCCCGCCTTTCTGTTTTGCTACATTAGTCTAGTTTTCCTCTGCTGCGTTATGATATTCCTAGTCCATTTAATCATGATATTGGATGATTATCCATAGTTCTAAGCTTAAAATGTCCATTTATTTGGCCAGTGCAGTATCTCTAATGCTTGGTTCACAGTCTTTGTAAATCTCGTGTCCCTGACGTCACTCACCAAACCATGATGGAACATCTATGCACTGTACATACCTGTGGCACATAGACATCTGCCCACTGAAATGGACACATACTACAATCACATAAAAGGGGTCACATAAACAAAGATTTATTTTCTTACAATCTTAGAAGAGTGATGGCAGGTCCCCATTTTCTTCATTGAGGGGTGTGTCTACTGACCAGAAGCCAGTACAACTGGTCAAATGGGTCTTTAGCCTACAGTACCATCCATGCCTTCTCCCTTTTCCTGAAGCCAGACAGGTTCTATGACAGAATGGCTTAACAGAGTATGTTTGGTCTCTTGAGGAATGGGAGATAAATCTACTTTAAATCAGATGTGAGCCTGGTCCAGTAGTTCCCTTTGCCTCACTGAACGCTCCTCTATGCCACTTCATGTGTCCCTGTTGATCATAGCACCTTGTTGTCTTAGGAAAGTGCATCCTGGACATTGGCTTTACCCTAGGTTCACTGGTGACATTGGCCACTTACCCCCTACTTTGGCTTGGTGTTGCGGGAATGGGTAGGGAGCAGGGTTCTCTAAAGTGGCTAGTGTAAAAGCCCTCAGAAGGCCCACTAGAGGGGACTGAGCATCCTTTCTTAGTAATAATGTTGGAAAGTCATGGTCCAGGCATACAGTATATGACAATACATGACCTGTTGCTGGCCCTAAGGATGCTGTATTTCAATTGCTCTGTCTCAGGCAGGAAATGTGGTAACAGGAGAGATGGTAGAAGAGCTAATCCTCTCTGGGGCTGACATCATCAAAGTGGGAATTGGGCCAGGTAAGCTGGTTCGCCCGGGCCACTGGCTACCCCTTCAGTGGCAAACACCTATGGAGCACATCATTCTCGCCCTTGTCATGTTCTTCCTAGGCTCTGTATGTACTACTCGGAAGAAAACTGGAGTAGGGTATCCACAGCTCAGTGCAGTGATGGAGTGTGCAGATGCTGCTCATGGCCTCAAAGGCCACATCATTTCAGTAAGGCCCAAAGACAGGGTAGGGTATGAACTGGGTTTTCTGCAGGGTATGGAGGTGGCAGAGATGGACTAGAATTCCTGGGTTCTTGTTGGCTTTGAGTTGGATTGTTGGGACATCACTGAGGGCTTAGAAAAATCCATGCTGTATGTTCATAGTGCTCCTTACTTTGCAGGATGGAGGTTGCAGCTGTCCTGGGGATGTGGCCAAGGCTTTTGGTAAGAAGCTTGAGCGCACAGAAGGATTATTCTTTATAAGAGGATGAGTCACCTCTGAGGGTCTAGGGTCAGGGTAAGAGAGGCTCAGGAAGTCATTCAGATTCTTTCATAATATAAATTAGTGACTCTGAAGTCTATGGTATCACCTGTGGTGGCCAGCAGGGGACATCTGAGACTCTCCAAGTGTGGGCCATGGCCATTTGACCATCTCCTAGATTGTTGCACAGTGCAGACTCCTGAGCCCCACCCAGACCTAAAAAAATATTAGGCTCTGAGGAATAGGGCAGCAAATTTTTATTTTTTATTTTGTACAGCTTCCCAGGAGGTAATTACTCCCATTAAAGTTGGAGATCTTTGCTCTTGGCACACACGAAATGAGTCTTGTTTAGCTGGGCACAGTAAAATGAAATGACCGGATGATGACGGTGAAAACAGCAAAAGGAGAAAGCAAGTGCCAGGCAGGGACTCTCCAGAGCCTCTTTTTTAAATCTTGGGGAAATCATACTCACTGAGGAATAGAAGCCAGGGCAGATGAGGCCTGAATGGATTGTGGGTCAACTAGGGAATCAGAACCAGGAAGAGGCTGGAATCATTGTCAGGACTGAGTGTGGTGTGAGTTGCTTTTGAAGGTGGCCATGTGGGCACCTTGGCCATATTAATAATGTCTTTCCTTCCTCCATGATGGTGGCAGGTGCAGGAGCTGACTTCGTGATGCTGGGTGGCATGCTGGCTGGGCATAGTGAGTCAGGTGGTGAGCTTATCGAGAGGGACGGCAAGAAGTACAAGCTCTTCTATGGAATGAGTTCTGAAATGGCCATGAAGAAGTATGCTGGGGGTGTGGCTGAGTACAGGTATGTGTGGTAGCTCAGGAACTTAGTAATAGTATGGAGGCAGAACTCATGGCTGTTGAGAGGGGGATGGTACAGTTCTCAGAGGAGAATGGTGAACTGGGGCTCAATGCTAGGGTGTGGGGAAAAGTCCCTGGGCTCACAGAATCCAGAAGGAAAGATAAATAAAGTTTTTTTTTTTTTTTTAAGAGCCTCAGAGGGAAAGACAGTGGAAGTTCCTTTTAAAGGAGACGTGGAACATACCATCCGAGACATCCTAGGAGGGATCCGCTCTACGTGTACCTATGTGGGAGCAGCTAAGCTCAAAGAGTTGAGCAGGAGAACTACCTTCATCCGAGTCACCCAGCAGGTGAATCCAATCTTCAGTGATGCGCACTTGACCTGAGCAGTTCTGCCCTCCCAAGACACCAATATTCTACCATGGGGCATGCCAAGTGGGCTCCTCACCTATCCCAGCTACTGCAGCTCTGTATTACTTTGTCATTTCCTGTTGGCTCACTCCTGAGGGCTCCTGCAGTAACTCTGTACTTTGCTATCTGCACACGCAAAATGCCCAAGGCACTCACTGGGGAGGAAGCAAGGAAGAAAAGTCTGAGAAAATGACGCAAGATAATCAAATGGGAATCTGGGGACCTGACACCTGAAGATTATTAAAAGGAAAAGATGCTGATTGATACATAAATTTTTTACTTGGCTTTGGTTTAGAGGAGGCAGGCTTTTAGAATCATGTTTTGTTAATCAGCTTCACTAAATGGGACCTTCACATATCTAAAAAGCTCAGAAGTGTTTGTATATTTGAAATACCTCAATAAAGAAAGAGCTCATTGACTGTAAATAGATGCTGGGGCCTTCTGTACAAGGCCAGCATCTGCCTGCTGCTCCAGAGTGGGTGGCGGTAGGGTCAGCGCTGACCCAGTGGGGTCAAGGACAATGAGTATTATTCCTATGAAGTATCTCCATTCTAGTGCCACCACCCCCAGATAATCTGAAAGCATGAGGATTTACAAAATATATTCTGTATATTAGGACACATATTTCCAGAATAGCAAAAGGATCTCTTCCTGGCTCCCAACCTTGTTAACCCTTCTGGGCACAGCTAAACAACACTTACCAAAGGAAGTAAAAAAGGCAAAGGGATCCTACCAGTCTGGAAGGGCCAGCTGTTTCTAAGGCATGGCTTATGCTGACCTTATGGAAACCTAAATTCCCCTCCCTCACATCAAGGCAGTATTTTAACAAATCCAAAGTTTAATTATTAAGCATTACAAAGTATTTTTAGCAGTTTAGTCAGGCAATCCAAGCCTGGACTTCCACTTCATTCCTACTAAACTACTTGCAGAGCTGAGGAGGCAGGAGACAGGCAGAATACAGAGGGCACTTTAGTTCTATCACAGGGGTTTACAGCTGTCTCTACAGTCATAGGAAGGCATGGCACTGTAGCCAGAAGAGGGGAGATATTCATAGAAAGTGGGGATCAGGGTGTCAAACTTTGTCTTCTGATAGTTTTCCAGAGACTCCTGTAGAGAAGGGAGCAGGCAGATCCCACCAAATGAAACCATTGCCTGAGCCCTCTGAATTCTGAAGCATGTGGATTTCTTAGTCCTGTTCTGCCCATCCACTTCCCCAGCTTTCTGCTCCTTCCTACTCACCTTTCCTTCCCCCTGGCCATTTTCTTCCTCATCAGAGTCTAAAACCAAGTCCCCTATGGTAATGACGGAGCTGCACAGAGATGGAGTACACACTGTAGGAGGGAAACCAGAATCAAACTACCACCTCTAGATGAATACAGGCTCTTGAGAGTCCCCAAGAGAGGAGGCTGTTATCCAATCCTGACTCAGACTACCTACCTGGCTTCCTGGCCCTAGGAGGTAATAATGATAGGGGGTCCATGTAGCAATCCAAGCAATTCCTGAGGTGAGAGCAAGCAAAGAGGATAGGGTGAAAGGAAGGCAGGCAAAGAATGTGCTCCTAGTAAGGAGAATTAACTCTGTTCCACTCACTCCTTTTGCTCTGTGGCAGGCAAGTCAACTGGGTTCTCCTTCAGAGCCCTTCCCCTCAGGGTATGGCTTGGACTCTTAGACTTCCCAGTGGGGGCTGCTCTTGTGCTCATGGCTAGGTCTGCTGTGCATATCGCATGTTCTTCCTTGCTCTCAGGCTTAGATGCGCGCTGGGTTGCTGAGCCCAGATTCCTAAAGGGAAACAGCATGACTGTGGGGCGCTCCTTATGGCCTCCCCTAGCAGACACCCATTGGGAGTGTACTCTTCGCTGGCCTAGAGGGGCCAGATTGAAGTGGTGGCCAGCTAGAGGTTCTGGGTGTGTCCTTGAAGATGGTCCCTGAGGAAGATATGGGCCAGGCTTTGCCTTGGGCAGAGGATTGTGGAGTGCTAGTCTTTGTTGCTGAGGAGGATTCTGTTCCATGGGCTCAGCCAGGTTCATTGAGTCAGTAATAGAGCACTCTGAAAAAGAAAATGAGACCCCTTATAAACAGAACAGATAGTAACAGAGTAACTGGTTTCTTATGCCTGGAGCCCATGAAACTATTCCAATAGGCTGCCTCAAAAGATCTCATGCTAAACACTACACCTCCAAATTCCTAGTACCTGGAAGTGGCCACCCCATGTCCACACCATATTGGCTCCAGGCAAGAGAAGAGGTGACAGAGACTCCAGGCTGCATCCAACTCAACACATCCTGAAGCTGTGGGCAGGAATAGAGGTATGAAGACCACAGTCCTTGACACAACCACCCCACACTCTGCCCTTAACATGTTTTGCCCCAACAAAACCTGCTGTGCCTGCGGTGTAGGCAGTGCTTTCTCTAGCTGACAGAAGTATTCAAAAAGCAGCTTTTCCATTGCAGCCAGAAAGGGTTCCCCATACTCTTGTTCAAGTTCCTGCAGCAGGGAGAGGAGGTTAAAAGTGGGTTAGTGGCCAGGCATGGTGGCTCATGCCTGTAATCCCGGCACTTTGGGAGCCTGAGGCAGGCAGATCACTTGAGGTCAGGAGTTCAAGACCAGCCTGGCCAACATAGTGAAACCCCATCTCCACTAAAATATAAAAATTAGCTGGGCATCTATAATCCCAGCTACTCTGGAGGCTGAGGCAAGAGAATCGCTTGAACCTGGGAGGCAGAGGTTGTAGTGAACTGAGATAGCCACTGCACTCCAGCCTGGGCGACAGAGTGAGACTCTCAAAAAAAAAAAAAAAAAAAAAAAAAAAGGTTAGAGAAAATAGGAGCCACCTAACAGCCTTCAAACCAGTCTCACCTGCAGCTTCGAGGCCAAATCCACAGGAGCATCTGATAGCTGCTTCACCTGCTGACAAAAAGTTTCCTGTGCCTCCAAAATCTTCCTCAGATCATGCTTTGTCTGTTGAGGATATCAGACAGACAAGTTAGCACCAAAATCCGGTAGACAAGAGGAGCAACTTTACTGCACCAAGTGTAACTGGGGTCAGGGCTCGTTCCAGGGATTACTCACAGCCTTGGGGTCCCGCACTACAGGTCCAGATTCTGGAAAGTGGTGATTCAGGGCAGTCAGGACTTGGGCCCAAGGCCGGCCCTGCAGGATCAGCTCCACCACCACCTGTACGGTACTGAATTCAGAATCCCCACCTTGGGGCAAGGTGACTTTTTCCAACTAGTCTCATCCCCAAGCTGTGTGCCCTTGTCAGGTCCTCGCATCCCGCCCCTTTCTCTCTTTCCCCTTCTAGGTCCTACTTGCTCCAATACCTTGGCCTTTAGGCCCATACAAAGGCGTTCGTGGTGCCGGTAGCGAACCAAGCCAGGGGCAACAGCGCGCAGAGATTGCAGAAACTCCAGTACTCGCGGAAAATGCTCCACACAGCGGCCGCGCACTACCCGCCAGCTAGCGGCGGCGGCGAAGCGCAGAGCTGCAGGACCGGCCCCCGGGGGCGTAGCCATGGCCGGCGGGCTCCGCCCTGAGGCGGTCCCTCCAAGTTCCTCACCCGGATGAGTGAGGCTTCCCGATCACTCCTAGGGGCGGGGCTTCTGGCAACACTCTGTGGCTCGGATCAGCCGGCTCTGGGTACCTTGCGGTCCGGCTGGGCTCCCTTCCGTAGGCACCCAGAGTTCTGCGGGGGGGGGGGGCTTCTGCTCGGGCTGGAGGAGCCTGAGTGGCGAAGCTGGCTGTCTCCAACGGCACCAGGTCGCCCACCTTTAAACGCCGCCGCTGTCTCGAGCCCGAGGGTGCCTTATTTCCGGCTCCGCAACTAGCTACTCTTGCCCCGGAAAAGGGCGGTAAGAGGCGGCCAATGGGCAGCCACAGATGGAAGTGTGACGGCGCGTCAGAAGGCCACGCCGCGGCGGAGCTGGCGCTTACAGAGCCCTGCGCCCTCTACCGGCTGACTTGAGTTGGCCGCTGAGTCTGTGTGGGCCCGCCCGTCTGAGTCTTCCCTATCCCGCTTTCCTCGTTGAGCCAGCAGAGAAGCCACGTCACTCCCGTGAGGCTCGACTTCCTGGTCTGTAAAACGAGGATCATGCCACCGCCTCTTCCCACTGTCTTCACCCATCGAAATTCAGTTCAAGTCCCTTGAACCGGCGTCTACAGAGCCGGCGCGCATCGGCTCCAGTAGGAATTCGACTGTTTCTTTTATAAAACAGAAGAGGGCGCCCCGCCCTTAAAATAAAATGCAGGCCGTGCGCGGTGGCTCGGGACTAATCCTAGCATTTTGGGAGGCCGAGACAGGAGGATAACTTGAGCCCAGACCAGCCTAGGCGACATGGTGAAACCTCGTGTCTGCTAAAAATACAAAAAGTAGCCGGGTGTGGGATCAGGTGCCTGTTCAAGCCATCTTCCCACCTAGGCCTCCCAAAGTGTTGGGAGCACAGGAGTGAGCCACTGCACCCAGTCCCTGGCTAATTAAAAAACAATCTTTTAGGCAGGGCGCAGTGGCTCGTGCCTGTAATCTCAACACTTTGGGAGGCTGAGGCAGGTGGATCACTTGAGGTCGGGAGTTCGAGACCAGCCTTACCAACATGGAGAAACCTCGTCTCTACTAAAAATGCAAAATTAGCTGGATGTGGTGGCGCATGCCTGTAATCAATCCTAGCTACTCGGAAGGCGGAGACAGGAGAATCGCTTGAACTCGGGAGGCAGAGGTTGTGGTGAGTCGAATCGCGCCATTGCATTCCAGACTGGGCAACAAGAGCAAAACTCCATCTCAAAAAAAAAAAAAAAAAAAAAAATTTGGTGGGTGTGGTGGTTCATGCCTGTAATTCCAGCACTTTGGGAGGCTGAAATGGGAGGATCACTCGAGGCCAGGAGTTTGAGACCACCCTAGGCAACACAGTGAGACCCAGACTGTACAAAAAAAAAAAAAGAAAGAAAAATGTGTTTTGTAGAGAAGGGATCTCGCTATGTTGCCCAGGCCGGTCTATCTTTATTTTTTGTTTTTGGTATTTATCCTGCTTGGTATTCTCTGAGCTTCCTGGATCTGTATTTGGTGTCTATCATTAATTTGAGAAAATTCTCAGTCATTATCACCTCATTTCTTCTGTTCCTTTATTTTCTCTTCCATTCTGATTATGTGTATGCTACTATAATTGTCGGATATTCTGTTCTTTTTCATTTTTTTTTTCCTCTTCGCATTTCAGCTTTGGAAATTTTTTTCCTATGAGGCTGGAAGCCCCAGCTTTGGAAATTCCTGTTGATACTCCTTCAAGCGCACCATGTTCTTTGGCCATGTCCAGTCTATTGATGAGCCCATTACAGGCATTCTTCATTTCTGTTACAGTACCTTTTTTTTTTTTTTTTTTTTTTTTTTTTTTGAGACAGTGTCTCACTCTGTTGCTCAGGCTGGAGTGCAGTGGCTCAATATCAGCTCACTGCAACCTGCACCTCCCAAGTTCAAGCGATTTTGGTGCCTCAGCCTCCCAAGTAGCTGGGACTACAGATCATGCGCCACCACGCCTGGCTAATTTTTGTTTTAGTAGCGACAGGGTTTTGCCATGTTGCCCAGGCTGCTCTTGAACTCCTGGCCTCAAGCGATCCACCTGCCTCGGCCTCCCAAAGTGCTGTGATTACAGGCATGAGCTACCGCACCTGGCCCAGTGTTTTTTACTTCTGCATTTCTGTTTTTTCATTAGAATTTTCCTCTCTCTGCTTACATTATCCACGAAACATAATGCTTACCATTATCTTTCATGTTGTCCCCTTTTTCCTTTACAGCTCTTAGCATATTGGCCATAATTGTTTTACATTCCTGTTCTGATAATTCTAGCTGCCATATCAGAATTTGGTTCTGAAGCTTTCTCTTTCTTCAAACTGTGTATTTTTGTCTTTTAGTGTGCCACGTGATTTTTGTTGTTGTTATGTATGGATAAAAGAAACAGGCAAATAAACCTTTCGTGTGAGGTTTATCTGGCTAGGGGTTAGGCTGTGTTTATTGCTTGATGTAGCTGTAGGTATCAGCTAAAATTTTCTCTGGTGTCCTTGTTACTATCTCCCCTGTCATCTTTGGTGTTCCCTAGAGACTTCTTAAATAAGGTCTAAGATGTGCAGTTATTTCAGTTGTATTCCCTGTTATTATATGAGAACTCTATTAGTCCTAAGGTGTCAGGGGCAAGGGAAAGCGTTCTGTAGTCCTGTAATTACGTCTCCGTCTTTCAGTAAGCCTGTGCTGGAAGCTATGACTTTCCTAAGTGCTACTAGACCCTGCTCCCTTCCTCCTTTGTCTCCTCACATGCAGGGAAAACAAGCGTTGGGTATTTCTCTTCCCCCATGTAAAATGCTGGAAATGTGCTATCCTGGCTGGAGCTGGACATGTCCCTTTTCCAGATCAGGCAGGCTCTCTTAATGAATAGAGTTAGTTTCTCTTGAGGGCAGGCATTATTAAGAATGGAATACAGGGCCAGGTGTGGCTCACTCCCATAATCCCAGCAATTTGGGAGTCCAAGGCAGGTGGATTGCTTGAGCCCAGGAGTTTGAGACCAACCTGGGCAAAATGGCGAGAGCCCCGTCTCTACAAAATAATTCTAAAAACCAACCAGGCTTGGATGCATACACCTGTAGCCCCAGTTACTCAGGAGGCTGAGGTGGGAGGATTGCCTGAGCCCAGGAGGTCGAGGTTGTAGTGAGCTGTAATCCAGCCTGGGTGACAGAGCAAGAACAGAATGCAATGGATGTATTTCAAAATGGCTACTTTCCTCCTCCCCTCTGCCAGACTCACAGGAGAGGCTCCAGTTTTCACTGTGGGATCCTGATAAAACTTATGGCCACGTGCCATGGCTCACACCTAGGATTGCATGAGGCTAGGAGTTTAAGACCAATCTGGGCAACATAGCGAGGCCTTGGCCGGGCGCGGTGGCTCACGCCTGTAATCCCAGCACTTTGGGAGGCCGAGGCGGGTGGATCACGAGGTCAAGAGATCGAGACCATCCTGGTCAACGTGGTGAAACCCCATCTCTACTAAAAATACAAAAATTCAGCTGGGCATGGTGGCGTGTGCCTGTAATCCCAGCTACTCAGGAGGCTGAGGCAGGAGAATTGCCTGAACCCAGGAGGCGGAGGTTGCAGTGAGCCGAGATCGCGCCATTGCACTTCAGCCTGGGTAACAAGAGCGAAACTCCGTCTCAAAAAAAAAAAAAAAAACATAGCGAGGCCTTGTCTCTACAAAAAAATTTAAAAATTTGCCAGGCATGGTGGTACACACCTGTAGTCCTAGCTACTTGGGCTGAGGCAGGAAGATTGCTTGAGCCCAGGAATTGGAAGCTGTAGTGAGCTGTGATTGTGCCACTGCATTCTAGCCTGGGCAAAACAAAAATAAGAAACGAAAAAAAACAAAAACAAAAAAAGTGTGGGGTGCCCACCTAAGAATGGGACCTCTATTATATATATATATATATATTTTTAACACCGTCTCACTCTGTCACCCAGGCTGGAGTGCAGTGTCATGATCTTGGCTCACTGCAGCCTTAACTTCCCCAGGCTCAGGTGATCCACCTCAGCCTCCCAAGTAGCTGGATTACAGGCATGTGCCACCAAACCCAGCTACTTTTTGTCTTTTTTGTAGAGATGGGAGTTTTGCCATGTTGCCCAAGCTGGTCTTGAACTCTTGAGCTCAAGTGATCTGCCTGCCTCAGCTTCACAAAGTGCTGGGATTACAGGCCTGCGCCAGCATGCCTGGCCACTATAGATTTTTTAGCCTTCAAATTTATCCACCCTAAACCTCCAGCTGTAAGTCAATTACACTTTAAGTTTTCCTACCCTGGTACTGGTTTCCCAGAAGTTTCTGTTTCTGGGCTTCTGCTATGAAGTCGTGATTCTCTGTATCTGCCTTTTTGTCTCTCCAGTTTTAGGGGCAGCAGTTTTCTGTGTGCCCTCAATTCTCTGATAGATCTAACAAGAGTTATTGACTTTCAGTTTGTTCAGCTTGTTTCTTACGAGGGCAGGAGTAAGGACTCCCAAGCTTGTTAGGGGCCAGACTAAAGACCAGAGCTTATTATCTTCCCTTTTATAATATGGTCTTCCTCCTGGGCTTCGTATTTCTGTGCATGGCACCCATGAGTCAGAAACCCAGACCACCACCCTTCTCTTTGTCCTCCCTCCTCTCCAAATTGAATCTGTTACCAAGTCTAATTAGTTCTACAACCTTCAAACCCATCCCCTTTTTTTTCATTCATACTGTCTCTATCCTATTTCAGGTTCTCCTGTCTCTCATCCTGAGAGGACTCTAGTCCTCCTACCTCCAGCCCAACCCCTCTAATTTCTTTTCTATGTTGCTTTCATCATGAATCTTGTGAAATGCAAAACTGATCATATCAACCCTAATTGAAAGCTCCCCCTTACTTTCAGAAGAAAGTCCAGGCCGGTCGCGGTGGCTCAAGCCTGTAATACCAGCACTTTGGGAGGCCGAGGTGGGTGGATCACAAGGTCAAGAGATCGAGACCATCCTGGTCAACATGGTGAAACCCCGTCTCTACTAAAAATACAAAACATTAGCTGGGCATGGTGGTGCGTGCCTGTAATCCCAGCTACTCAGGAGGCTGAGGCAGGAGAATTGCCTCAACCCAGGAGGCGGAGGTTGCGGTGAGCCGAGATCGCGCCATTGCACTCCAGCCTGGGTAAAAAGAGCGAAACTCCGTCTCAAAAAAAAAAAAGAAAGTCCAAACTCCTAAATATGGCAAAAGAATTTTTAATGACCTGGCCCAAGCTTACTTCTTCAAGCACATCCCTTGCCACTTTGTACTCATCATGCACCCATATGCCAGTCCTCATCCAGCTGTCTGCATTTTCCAAATATACTGTGTCATCTCGTATTTCTGTACTTCACACATGTTGGCTGATTCCTCTGTCCTCTGCCTCTTGGACTTGACTTTTTCTCATATTTCATGAGTCATCTGGTAATCACCTTCATGAAGCCTTTCTGCATCAGTCCAGGCAGAGTCGCCGTTCTCTGGGCCTCTCAGCATCCTGAACATTCCTCTACTACCATGCAGACCCTAACTCATAAGGTTGTTGTAAGGATTCAATGAATTCATAAAGTGCTTGCAACCTGGCTCCTGGTAAGTGTGACATATGCATTTACTGTATTTAGAATGTTTACACATCTGTCACCCCCACTGGGCAGGAGCACCTTACGGGAAGGGCTTGTTTCTTC